TAGATGATAGATCTATCATCTATGCATTAGTTTAATACCTTTTTAAGAAATCTAAAGTTTTGTGTTTTCACTCCAAATATAACAGGACCTCTTTCTCTGATAATTCATTTCTTTGTTTTTCACCTGTTACTATCCATTTTACTATCCCCTCCTTTTTTTTGATATCTAATATTTTTACATGTTGCTAGTGAGAGAACCTGTTGTTAAAATATTTGAATCCAACCACTGCATACACAGTATCTATAGTTCAACCAGGACTAAAACAAGTGCTTTAAAAACTTGTACACAGTATCTATAGTTCAACCAGGACTAAAACAAGTGCTTTAAAAACTTGTACACAGTATCTATAGTTCAAGCAGCTTTCAACCAGGACTAAAACAAGTGCTTTTAACACTTGTACACAGTATCTATAGTTCAACCAGGACTAAAACAAGTGCTTTAAAAACTTGTACACAGTATCTATAGTTCAAGCAGCTTTCAACCAGGACTAAAACAAGTGCTTTAAACACTCATACACAGTACCTATAGTTCAAGCAGGACTTTAAAACAAGTGCTTTAAACACTCATACACAGTATCTATAGTTCAAGCAGGTTTCAACCAGGACTAAAACAAGTGCGTTACACACTCATACACAGTATCTATTGTTTGAGCAGGTTTCAACCAGGACTTTAAAACAAGTGTTTTAAAAACTCGTACATGTTTGAGCAGTTACAAAAAAAAATTATTTGCGAGTTCATTAACAAGAACTAATTCAAGCACTCATAAAATTGTACACAACAAAAGGTTAGTTAGTATTTACAGCATAGTAAACCAAATTATAAAACTAATTACAATAAAATGATTTCTTATCTACAATGTTTTTTTCCAAAAAACAATGTCACATCTTGAAATCTCTATATTTTAGTCCTACCAATATCCATACATAAAACAGAAATCATTCTGGCTGCAGAATTATTTTACATATTATCTTTCACCATATCTTAAACAATCCATGTATTTTCAAGTATGGCCTTTTTTTTATGCATTATAATATTCTACATTACTATGGGTTTTCAACTTTTGTATAATAAAGTTTGTAAAATAAGACAGATAGTCATATTGTTACACCATTTTTGTAAAGTCAAAGACAGAAAGTGCAAATACCCATGCTCTCACTAATGTTATACTTTTAAGTCCCCACAATTTGATGATGTAATACCTGTCTACAAGAACAGGGCAGGTTTTCTATTTACTTCCAACCTATGACTCTATGGAGTTAATCAGGTCTGGAACTATGTACGTAATACCTGTTTATAGAATTTGGGGAAGGATCTAGTGACCTTTACCTATGACCTGAAAGAGTCACTTGTAAAATCAATATTGTTTTTAGTAAAATAAAAGACAACTTTTATAAAATTGAAGACAAATAACTAATTCTTTAGTATAACAGTAAACCACCACTGGGCTATGTAAATCTTTATAAATTATCTGTATAGTCCTAACCAAAGATACTGACATTATAGTTTACGCTAGACGGGTTTGGTCTGATGTATTAACATCACTTTCAATATATAACACTAAAAACTAGGTTTCAATATCCACAGTTAGCATGACACACATAGCTCATTGTGTGGCTTTGCACTTAACAATTAATTAACATGAAAACACTGGGATTGTGAAGCCGATGATGCTAACATCAAACATCTTATTTACATTATCAAACTAAAATTACTTATCTAATCAGAGAAAAAATGTAAATTCCCTTAATATTTTACTTGATATTTGTCTTTTTCTAACAACATAATACACATCATGAGAACTGTACAAAAAAACTGAAGTTACGATTTATCTTTGGTTTAAAAACAGAACCTGGGTACAAAATGGTGAAAATCAGAATTAAAATAAGTATAGCTATTTAATTCTGGTACAGAACCTGTTCTTCCTCATCAATAGGACCAAACCAAGACACTTGTTTTATCTGGTTTCTAACAGAAGCCACCACCGAATGAAATTTTGTATGTCTGTCACTAGGTATTGTCCCACTGTACACTCCCAGCAGGTGAGTCTACACATGAAGATATGGTTATGAAGTCAATTATCTACATACATCCAAACATACCACACTAAACTGCATATTTAACATAACAATTATGATGCTTGCATTGCAGTAACATGTTAAATATTCCATCAACCTCAATATATTAACAATACAGTAACTGTAACGTGTTAAATATTCCATCAACCTTATTATATTAACAATACAGTAACTGTAACGTGTTAAATATTCCATCAACCTCAATATATTAACAATACAGTAACTGTAACGTGTTAAATATTCCATCAACCTCAATATATTAACAATACAGTAACTGTAACATGTTAAATATTCCATCAACCTCAATATATTAACAATACAGTAACTGTAACAGTGTTAAATATTCCATCAACCTTATTATATTAACAATACAGTAACTGTAACGTGTTAAATATTCCATCAACCTCATTATATTAACAATACAGTAACTGTAACATGTTAAATATTCCATCAACCTCAATATATTAACAATACAGTAACTGTAACATGTTAAATATTCCATCAACCTCAATATATTAACAATACAGTAACTGTAACATGTTAAATATTCCATCAACCTCATTATATTAACAATACAGTAACTGTAACGTGTTAAATATTCCATCAACCTCATTATATTAACAATACAGTAACTGTAACGTGTTATTAAATACTAACTTTAAAAGCAAGCAAAAGTATGACAATTGAATGGATTACAAAGTTTATAACATTTATAATTTTCAGAAAGACATGTAAGAAAATATTCTCAACATTTTTACCTAAAAATCAATAATTAATAAAACAGAATATTTAAAGAAAAGTTTGGTACTTCCAAACATACACACCTCAACTTGGCCACTTTTGATACAGTTCACTAGTTTCAGGCTTTCTTTCCTTTTTGTCCTGTATAATAAAAATCATAGTACTTCTGACTATAATTCCTCTAAACTGAAAAGTATCTTATGGTGTCATTATTTATCAACAATGTATTTCTTTACATATGAAACCCAGAAAAAGATGTTTTCTTTAGACTTGGGGTTTCACTGGTTGATCTGTACATATAACAGCTTCATATTAATATATGGGACTCTGCAAATTTTCAACTTTATTATATATATTAAAAGTATAGTTGTGGTTCTTTCTGATAAAACAAATCTTATCACTGACAACAAAGTAACCATTAACACCTTAAATTTTAATCAAGGTATAATATATATATATATTCTTCAGGTCTCAGACTTAGAGAACAGTTAACAACTGAAGCCAGACATAGATAACAGTTAACAACTGAAGCCAGACATAGAGAACAGTTAACAACTGAAGCCAGACTTAGATAACAGTTAACAACTGAAGCCAGACTTAGGGAACAGTTAACAACTGAAGCCAGACTAGAGAACAGTTAACAACTGAAGCCAGACGTAGAGAACAGTTAACAACTGAAGCCAGACGTAGAGAACAGTTAACAACTGAAGCCAAATGTAGAGAACAGTTAACAACTGAAGCCATACTTAGATAACAGTTAACAACTGAAGCCAGACGTAGAGAACAGTAAACAACTGAAGCCAGACTTAGAGAACAGTAAACAACTGAAGCCAGACTGAGAGAACAGTAAACAACTGAAGTCAGACATAGAGAACAGTTAACAACTGAAGCCAGACTTAGAGAACAGTAAACAACTGAAGCCAGATGCAGAGAACAGTAAACAACTGAAGCCAGATGCAGAGAACAGTAAACAACTGAAGCCAGACGTAGAGAACAGTTAACAACTGAAGCCAGACTTAGAGCAAAGGGAAAAGGTTAAGTAAATTTATCAATTTCAATTGTTTCATGCACTTTAAAAAGGTTAATTGTGTTGCACTCTTGGTTTCATTCAGAGCCAAAGCTCTGAGCTACTTATACCACCCACTGACAAAAGTAATTGTTAAGCATTTCAGTCATGCTAAGAGCCACTCAACAAAAACATCGATAAATCTACATTTTTATTCTTTAAGTTACGTCATATTTTGAAAAGTGAATGATTGTGTGATTAATTCCTAACAATTTAGTGTAGAATATCCTGCTTGTTAAATACAATTTAGCATCAACATTATTCATGCCTGTTCTCCCATCATTTCAAAAGTAAATGTTCAGATTTGCCTGCGTGCACAGCTTTTCAAATGGCAGACACACAAAAGCTCGGACAGACACCACAATTTGCAAAATATAAAAGATCCAATTTTAAAAAATATTCAGAGACACATTTTACATTCCTTCCTAACATGTATTGTTCTTAAATTTTTTTTGCACTCTTTTGTAAAAGTATATTTTGTGTTCATTATCGTAGATAAAACTGAAACTACTTAATGTCTTTTACACAACATGAAGTATTTTGTATATAACAAGATGTATACATATAAATAAAAGGAGCTGTCAGAAACTACTTAATGTCTTTTATACAACATGAAGCACATGGCACAGAAGTAGAAATAGTACTTCCAGAAACAAAGAACTGTTAGTAAATATCTAAAAAACCCAATTCTATTTTAAAGTTCTTAGGAAATACACAAGTAGATGTACCAGTTTGCATTACTTCTGGTAAAGCAACAAAACCTGGTGTGTTGAATACATCACTAATGAACAGCACTTGCCTAAGGTTAGTCTGATTATCAGGACTTCCTTCTGTTTCTCTACATCCAAACTCTTTTTCCAAGGTTGTAGAAAAAGATGGACATTGTACTGGTGATAAAACTGGTTCAGGAGTCTTACTTTCCATCCTGCTTTCACTTCCTATTCCTCTACTTGTGTTTCCCACTCCTGAGAGATACTCTGGAAAATCTAGAAAATACTTCAAACATTTTAAAATGGTCAACTTTCAAAAGACATACAGATGCTGCTGGGCTTCCACCAATACGTGGCACCAATCTGAAGACAAAGAGTGTTTTATTATAGTTTTAAATGATGTTGCAGGACTTCAAATTTTAGATGGTACGATCTGAGCTGCATAATTTATTAAACTTTGATAAATTCATGTACAATATCTAGATATGAATAAATGAGCCTTTACAGATAACCTACTCATATTTCAAACATCCAGCTTTAAGGTGGTCAGTATTGCTTATAATCAAAAGCTTTACATAAAGTCTAAAGCTACATTTATAAGTTGAAAACTTCAGTTGCACTAAAAGTAACATCTACTCTCAGACACAGTGGCTTTAACAACTATTTGTGGTGTAAATGAGATGTGCTAATAAATCATATTATGTAACTAGCAGAACAGTCTACATGGTTATGACACATGGGATTAGTTCCACATGACAGAACAGTCTACATGGTTATGACACATGGGATTAGTTCGACATGACAGAACAGTCTACATGGTTATGATACATGGGATTAGTTCCACATGACAGAACAGTCTACATGGTTATGACACATGGGATTAGTTCGACATGACAGAACAGTCTACATGGTTATGACACATGGGATTAGTTCCACATGACAGAACAGTCTACATGGTTATGACACATGGGATTAGTTCCACATGACAGAACAGTCTACATGGTTATGACACATGGGATTAGTTTCACATGGTTACAATATCTGAGATTCATTTTGTCTCATCAATGTTTAAAATTAAAAAAAAACACACATAATGAAACTTCACTGATGTTCTTACCTTCGTCTCGTGTTTCAAAGAACTGCCATGCATCAACTTTATACCCAAGGCAGCGTTTCCTCAGAAAATCCTCAGCTCGTTGAACAGCATTTACAATAGCTACAGCATCCTCGGGCTTATGAGGCAAGCTCTTATGAAAGATTAAAAGAAAGCAATTTCCTGATCCTTAAGTAGTTATTCACATAAATCCTACATGTAAACCTTTGTGAAAGTTGCTAACTCTGTGTAAAATAAGACTTACTGTACATAACAAAGGTAGGTTTTTTCATTGACCTTGATTGTTTTATAGTTTGTCATTTTTTTAATGGATTTCATGCATTTACTAGCAACCACTGAACCTTGATAAATCTGATTCCAAAACTGTGCTAGCTTCATCAACATAGTCAACTTAGTAAAACAAAATGAAAAAGAAATCTTATTAACACATTTCTGTCACTGAAAAAACAAATTCAACCTATACTCTTTTTTTGTTGTTCATGAAAGTTTAGTTCTAAAAGATGACTTAAAAAACATCAACAGAGTTAGGGAAGGAATTTTACAAAAGGAACTTAGACCAAAGAAGAAGGAGATATACCTACGATGGTCCTGGGTTTATAGTTATTCTCCTGAAACAACAAACTACAGAAAGAGTATTTTTTATTGACCAAACAAAAGCAGCCCTTACCAAGTATTTTTTATTTCTTTCTGCATTGTCAAAGGTATTTATCTTCTTTATTGAAACTCTGATTCTGGAAGAAATATTTTAACAAACTTCTTCATAAAATTTTAACTAAGATTTTATTATTTGATAAAGCACTAACTTACACTAAAATGGCAACATCAAAAAACTGATGGCATATATATAATGTGACCCTCTTTCGATTTTTAAAATTTAATTTTTCATTGAAATCTTTCATTTACAAAACATCACACTATAATGTAGATTTTACAAATATCCTGTTATATATATATATATATACATAATCCACATTAAAACAGCACACTATAATACAGATTTTACAAATATCCTGTTTTATGTAATTGATATTAAAACAGTACACTTTAAATAAAAATATCTGAACTATTTGAATTTGCACATCACGAGAGAATAAAATAAAACTTTGAGAATTTTTCTTTAAGGTTTCTTTTGATATAAGGGAATTAAAACTCAGACAATATAAAACTATAATGTAAATGTTAATGCTGATATCATTGATCATAAAATGAATGTAACTAAGTAAAATCTTGTGACATGTGGAGGAAAGGGTAAAGGAGTAGTTTAGAGGATGGAACAACCTTGATGGACCAGGAGGCCCCTTTTTTTGTCCCTAAACATTAGGTTATGTAAATTCAATTTGAAAACTGAACAATAGATAATATATTTTTATTCTTCACATGAACTTTTCCTTGCACTCCAACTTGTCAGAGGTTGGCATTTCACAGAAATACCTTCAGTATCAAACTATAGTTACACATCTAATGTTTGTGTGTACAACAAATTTGTACTGTTGAAAAAAAATTTACCAAGTTTCACATAAATACACTTCATAAATTCTGAATCATAGTCAACATTGTTTCTTCAATACTGGTTCAGACCATTGAACTAACCTACTACACATTCAGTTAAAAGCAGTAAAACAATACACCACAAAAAAGGAAAATGGGGGCCTACAGGTCATCTGGGTACCAGGCTCACAAAAAGTTTACTTGGCCCTGTCAGTTTAACTAATTATGTTCTTTTATTATAACCTTTGTTATGTTTTAAATAAAGACTTTACATACCCAGAGTTTACTTGGGCCAGGCCAATAAAACGTACCGAAACTTTCTTTAATTTGAAATAAATCCGACGAACCTACAGGAAGAGAAACACTCTTTAAATAAAAACTTTATTTACTCAAAGCTTATTTTAGCCAGGACAATAAGACATACCAAACTATATATATTATGGATTATGTTTCATTTCACCAAAGGTAAAATTTAAAATATAATCTGTGACATAGAGGCTTAATACATTCCTTGATTTGCTGTACCTTCTGCCGTGGACTGTAGTTTCACCTATTCAAGGCTCATTAGAACAGCTTATTTCAGCAAACCAAAGAAACAGTTATGTCTCTTATAATGGTGATTTGTATATAACATTAATGGGGTTTTTAAGTATTTGTTTCTTTGGTTTGCTGACCCAAGCAGTGCTGAGACAAATAAAAAAAAACATTAGGCTTCTACATCACAGATTATATTTTCAATTTTACCTTTGATGAAAATATATCTGTACTATGATCATTAAAATGTTGGTCCACTGTACAATATTGAATAATAAATTAGGCACAACTCCATAATATTATTCACACACCTAAGTTAATTTAGGTTACTATATGGCAATTTAAAATAGACCTAAAAACTCCACAAATGTTATAGTGAAGCTTTAACTTGAGATAAACTCAACGAACCTATGAAAAGTGAAAACTCTTTATATAGTTCAATAAAGAAAACAATTTTCTCCAGGTGCTAGGTGATTTATATTTAAACTGCATTACAATATAATACAAAAACTTTCCTTAATAGCTTTGGTTGCAGTATCTCAAGTGAAAATAAAAAAAAGCTATAACATCAACTTTATGGAAGCTAAGGTCTACAGATTAGTTCCACTAAATTAAAAAAAACAATTTCAAGTCAAGAAACATTTATTAAGCTAAGACCAAAATAACCTGAAAATATAATCTGGTTATCCTGCGGTAATACTCACACACACAGAGAACACTGAATAAATTAAGAGAAAAATAAACGAAATTGACTTACCACTGCTGGCCAATAGAGTTTTTTAAAATAAACCCATACAATATCGTCTTTGTCAAAGCCAAAGGCTAAAGAAGAAAAACAAATATTTGTATTGTTCTTCATTAGTTCCTCCAATTAGGACTTACAGGTTTGTTATCAAAAAAGCATCAAAGAAGATTAAATTTTCATTTTATTCTAAAACTTAAAAAAGAATCCAAATTTTTATTTATAAATGCCAGTCAAAACTTTGTTACTTCTTTATATTTTAATTCAATTTACAGAAACTTGTAATATACTGATAAAAAATAAATAGTTTTAACATTTAAGTTCCAATACAACAATGATCTCTGATAAAGAGGACATTCAGATCCTTTCAAAGAAACACTAGCAAATCAATACCATTTTTAATTGGGGTATCAAATGCTGGAGGCAGATCATCATCATCAGTGTCATCTTCAGTGTAACTGTTCATCTTATCCTCTTCTTGTCTAAAGAGATGACATTTTTATAATAGTTTTCTTGTATAAGACACTTACTTTAAAACAGTCATTCAGCAAAAAGAAACAGAGAATGAGGCTACATCAATCATCTAGAGTAAACATACTCATATTTCACTCAACTTGTACTTATATATGCCTCAACTTATTTCACATTTTATGAACAAATTCACCCAATGCATATCTTAATCTGAACATAAAAATTCTGCATTAATAATAAAAACTATAAAAAAAATGTCTTCTATCTCCCTCCTATCTTGTATGAGTATCTAAACAATAAAAACATGTTTTCCTGCTCTAGTTTATCCAGTATCCAAGGAAATTATTTATCTAAAACCATATTATAGCACAAGCATCTTAACACTTACAATGAAAAAGTCTGGTCGCTTGGTCAATGATATAACTAAAGATATTCAAAACTCATAAGTACATAAATGCTCTTAACAAATTCTTGAGACTAAGTAAGCTTGTAATGTTATATATACAAGTCAAATTGGACCTGAATACACTTAATAACTGTCAAGATGGTAAGAATATTAGTGTTAAATTGGACCTGAATACACTTAATAACTGTGATAATGGTAAGAATATTAGTGTTAAATTGGACCTGAATACACTTAATAACTGTCACAATGGTAAGAATATTAGTGTTAAATTGGACCTGAATACACTCAATAACTGTCAAGATGGTAAGAATATTAGTATTAAATTGGACCTGAATACACTTAATAACTGTGACGATGGTAAGAATATTAGTGTTAAATTGGACCTGACTACACTTAATAACTGTGACGATGGTAAGAATATTAGTATTAAATTGGACCTGACTACACTTAATAACTGTGACGATGGTAAG